AGAGTAGAGTAGAGTAGAGTAGAGTAGAGTAGAGTAGAGTAGAGTAGAGTAGAGTAGAGTAGAGTAGAGAACAGAGTCGAGTTGAGTAGAATAGAGAATAGAATAGAATAAATTATAGAACAGAGTAGAGAATAGAATAGAGAATAGAATAGAATTATAGAACAGAGTAGAGTAGAGTAGAGTAGAGTAGAGTGGAGTGGAGTGGAGTGGAGTGGAATGGAATGGAATGGAATGGAATGGAATGGAATGGAATAGAATAGAATAGAATAGAATAGAATAGAATAGAATAGAATAGAATAGAATAGAATCTTCTAACTTTGATATTTTCCCCTTCCTTTTCTTTATATTAACTCTGTTAACCTGTTATCTGTTATCTGAAATTCAATGCACCTGCAGATCTACAGGAGCTTGCAAAAAATGTTTGACCAGAAAGAAGAGTGGGCTTCAAGTGATGTGCTGTCTAAGAACACGGAGCGATGACTCTTTTCTTAAATTGTTTTGAATTCTTCTCAAAAATGAGAGCTGCCAGTTTCAGGAATGGACTTTGTAGCCAAAGCAGCTGGCATTGACTTAGCTCTGAAATCCGGCATGGCTGAATCCTTCTGCTGTTCAGCCCAAGAGAAACAGACTGGATCTGACCCCTTGGACCAAGGCATCAGAAAGAGAAAGTCGTCTCTTCTTTTCACTTTTTTTCTCAAAAGTGGAGATAACCAAGATTCCACCACTATATTTAGCCACCGACTTCCTGTGTCAGATCCAGTAGGAAAGCCTTCAGAAGACGAGAAAGAAAGACTAGATGGATACAAAAAAATGGCACTGAACACAGGGGAGAGATTTGTGAATGAGCAGTGACCCAGGGGTGGGATTCTACCAGTTTGCACCTATTTGCTAGAACTGGTTGTTAAATTCCAAGCAGTTCGGAGAACCGGTTGTTAGAAGAAATTACAGGCCTAATCCTGTAAGGAAGGCAGGAAGGAAACATTCTGGTGTTGCTTACAGAAACTGCCTCTCCGTCAACCCTTATTACACTCTTGGCAGGACTAGACTTCCTGTCTCAGGAATGTCTCTGGAGTTTTTTTTCTCCTTTGCTGGTACTTTGCTTGTGTGGAGTGACCATTCAACGTTACAATGGCACTGAAAAAGGTGACTTATGACCGTTTTTCACACTTACGACTGTTGCAGCATCCCCACAGTCATGAGAGGCCAGGCGAGGAGATGTGTGCCTCGATGTGAGTGATGTTGAGTTGGCGACGCCCAGCCAATCACATGACCACCAAGCCATGTCCACCCAGTCACATGACCACAAAGCCACGCCCACCACCTAAGCCATGCCCACAGAACCGGTTGTTAAAAATTTGAATCCCACCCCTGCTGTGACCTTATACAACCTCCAAAATGTTTGGGACAACTTTTCTAAACCGCTGCTAAGTCAGCTTTAGGAAAGAGTCAGTCTCGTTAGTTGACAATCCACCTTGCGTTCCCAACAGTGGTGGTATTTTACCGGTTCCACGCGGTTTGGCCGAGCCCGTAGCGCCGATGAGCAGCTGCTCTGCTCTTGGGCCCATCTGCCTGCCTGGGCTCCCATAGTAACCTTTATGTCCTGCCCGTGCGGCAGCTGCTGAAGCAACCGCGAGAAGGCAGGCTTGCAGGAGGTGAGTTGGAATGCCTCTGTGCCTGTACAGAGTGTGCATTTGGCATGCACGTGTGTGCACATGCACACCCATCAAGCCACGCCCATTGAACCGGTGGTAAACATCTTTGAATCCCGCCACTGGTTCCCAAAGCTCCCATTCCTTTCACTTCTGGAAAAGTCTGGGAAATTATCAGTAGGTCTCTTCTTGTCAGTGTAGATTTGGGAAAGAGTTGGGCAATGTTTCTCTTGGTATCCCAAACTGAATTCCCAGCAAGCTTTGAGTGACCGAGACCTTAAATCTGCAGAACGTCAGATAGGTTTTTCTCAACCTTTGCTGATGACCAGATAGCCCTCGAGGTACATTCTTTTGTGCAGTGACTGTTCCAAGTCACAGGGGCCCTGGAAAAATGTGACTTATGACAATTTGTCACACTTACGAACATTGCAGCATCTCCCACAATCGTGTGATGGAAATTCAGACGCCTGGCAACTGGCATGTACTTATGACAGTTGCAGTGTCCCAGGGTTTTGCGACCTTCACTGGAGAATCCAGATTCACTTAGCAACCGTATTGCTCACTGAAGAACTGCAATGATTCATTTAACAATTGTGCCAATGTTGGGCCCTGTCTAAAAGGGGCCAACGTTCACTTAACAACTGTCTCGCTTAGCAACAGAAATTTTGGACGCAATTGGGTTTGTAAGTTGAGGACGGAGGGCTTTTTTTCCCATGCAAAACCGCCAGCCTGTAATTGACCCCTTGTCCATCAGAGAAACCTGCCCAGGTAGACAAAGTACATTCCAAGGTCCAGCAAAGAGCAGGGCAACTACAGGAGCTTTGCTCTTAGCTAGTCAAACAAACCCCATCATCCCCAGCCGCTGTCTGGAACATGTCTGGAAAGCCACCAGTCTTGGAAGTCTGCAATAAGCTGAGCCTGTTCAAAGGTTTGGGGGGTGCTTAGACCCTGCCAGATTTTGCTGGTTTTGCTACTACAGAATAGAATGGAATAAAGAATAGAACAGAACAGAATTGAATAGGAATAGGAATAAAATATAGGGAATAGGGAATGGGGGATAGG